CAGCAGGAAAACCAGCTGCAAGTTGGTGTGATTTATTCACGGCCTCCTTCATTACAAACCCCTAAGGGTGTGTGTGTCTCCCTTCCTGTGCCTCTCTCTGCGTTTGCACCGCTTCCAGTGCAAGCAGTCTCCTTCCTTCCTGCCATTGCCTTTTACCCATCCTCTCACTGCGGTGGAAAAGATGTCATGTGAGAGATCTGACTTCTTGTTGTCTCTGTGCTTGCTGGTGATTACAAACGTTCTTTTCAGGTGAATGGTGTCCTACCCATCCTTCCGTTGCTCTTTCCTGTCCTGTGGATTCTTGCTACAGCCTTCGGAGAAGCCAGAGTGTTGGCCCAGATGAGCAAGGCCTCATCGACTTCACTGGTAGGTATCTCTCCACATCAGACCATTGCAGAGAAAAGAGCAGGAGATGAGAAGGGCTCTGTGAAGTGAGCACAGTGAATTCAGCAGATGTGTCCACATAATTGTAAAAACTTGTTGGATCTTTGGTTGTCTCAGCTGTGCCCTCTTCCTGGAGCACAGCGTGGCTTCTTCTTGAACAGATGTTTTAATTTTTTCAACCTGTCTACAGATATCCCAAGGTGATAGGAAGCTCCAGTGATTCTGTAAATCTCTTGAAGGCATGAGCCATCTATCAGCTAAATACAATCTGTCAGAAGGGTTAACATGGAGATAAATGCCCTGTGGTGGCTGTAACTAGGGAACGTTTAGCCACTGCGAAGGAATGGGATACATGAGACCCTCTGCAATCCCCTCTTTTAACGTGTGGGCAGAACAGCCATTTGCTGAGGCTTCGCTTGCAGGCATGGCCTTTGCAGCAGGTCGGGGCGTACGAGGAATTTCTGGTGGTTGTGCTGGTTTGGGGAGTGGAGTTGGGTAGTCGATGGGTGCGTGATCCTGAACTGGATGCGCTGATGTGCGTCTCTTGTTCTCTCCTGGTGGCAGTGTTGGTGAGATGCACTGTACTATGTTTGTCTTCTGTGCTGACTTCTGTTATTCTTGTACTTGGACAGAGTTACTCTTTCCTTCTTGTCCTTCCTTGGCCTCTGTGGCCCTGGGTTTGTTTTCTATTCTTTTCCGTATAGGTTGTACATGACTAAGCTGGCTCTGTCCTGGAAGGGAGGACATGTTATGTCCCTCAGTGGTGGTTGCACCTTTACCATCTCTTTTCAGTGTTTTCTCCACTTTACCTTTCCCATTCATTTTCAGCATCGTTTGGTTTCTGTCTTTGGAACCTTCCTCTTTCCCATCAGTCCTTGCTATTTGGCTGGGAAAAGCCAGACCTCCTTGACTTCCCAGCTTCATCATTCTCAACATACCCATTTGCCCTGTCACTCATGCTTGCACCTTCCTTGTGTTCTTTCCTGTCTTCTCCTTTTTCTTGTCCAGGCAACTCACTCTGTCCAGCCAGCTCTTTCTGTGACATCTCAAACATGATCCTCCATCCTTGCTGCTTCAGAACAATGGTTGTGATGTGCCTTGGTCATTCTCCCCCTTGACTAGGGCAGTCTTCTCTTGGCCTCTCTATTTCACTCCTGCTTTCTCTCTACTCTGTTCAAAATGTAGCAGGTACGACCCTCTTCCTCTGCAATCACTTGGCCTGTGTGACGCTCCTTTCCACCTTCTGTCCCCTCTCATCATGTTCAAGCTGTTTGATTCCCAGTTGTTTGAAGGCCATAGGTGACCCTCGTGACTGGTTAGTCAGACACTCTGCAGGACACAAACCAGTGGCCCCCTAAATGAGCCCTTGCCTCAAGTTGTATTACTACAGTTGGACTACAGCAGCATTCCTTTTAGAAAGGAATTTGATGTTGGTTTGAAAACATTCGTACTGCCTTTTGTAGGTTGTTTCAATAATTATTTACCTTCACTGCTAAAAATGGGCATTCTGTGTTAGTGGGAATTTTTGTAGTATCTCATTTCCAGCCCTTGGAACATTTACATCTTTTGTCTCCTAGATTTAAGAGCACGTCAATCAAATTTCTGGTCTGTTGTAGCTACTCACATTCCCTTTTACCGTCTCTTTGGTTAAGTAAACAGTTTAAGCACCTTGAGTCACGATAAGCATGTTTTCCAACCCTCTAATCTTTCTCTTGGCTTTCCTCTTAGCTTTCTCCAGTGCCTCAAGATCACTGTAGAATAATGAATCTCCAAAACCCACAAAATATTCCAGTAACAGTTGTGCTTGTGCTAAATTTCAGAATAATTTGGACTTTCTACTCTATGTTCCCTTGTTAGTGCAACAAAGGATCATATTAGATCTTTTAGCCACTGCTTTAAATGGCCAGGCTTTGTTCAGCTGATAATCTACAGAGTTACTGCTTTCTAAGACAGAGTCCTCATTCTGTAAGTCCAACCTTCATTTTCGCTCCTAGGTATGCAACCTTACTTTTGTGCCTGTTGGTATATGCATGTTTTTTGCTTATTTACCAGGCAATCCATATTGTTCTGTAACAGTGGTCTGTTCTCTTTATTCTTGGACTCTGCCCCAACCTTTGTATAGTTTACAGGCTCTATCAGTAATGGTTTTTAGTTTTCTTTCAGGCTATTAACAAAATACCGAGAATTTGTCCCTGATTGAGCTAGTAACACATCCTATTGCAAATAATTCCTCAGTTTCTGTTCTATTTGGAGGTAGTCTATTTCTAATATATTTCATATGGGCTCTATTTCTCCAGTATTACTCTAGTTTTTGTTAGAAAACCAGTAAAGTATTTTGCATCGAGTCAAAATACCAAGTGGTCTACCTCAAAAGCATTACTTTTATCAGTCAAATTTGTAATTTTGTCAAAAAAGATATCACAATAGTTTGATGAGATTTATTACTCATATACTTGTGGTGTTTGGCGCTGGTTGTATTATTCTACTTCTTTTAAATGGGTCTCATATTAGCTGCTCTGTTATTCTGTCTGAAATCAAAGTCTGTCTGGGGTCCTGTGGTAAATTGGTTTGTTCTCTTTACCCTTTTTAGGCATTGGCACCACATTAGCTTTCTTCCATTGCACTGGGACTTAATCCATGCTTCCAGCCTTGTGCAAAATCAGCAATAACAAAGTTCTCCAGACCTGCTAATTTAAACGTATTTACTTTCAGTAGGTAGTGTTGGAATGGAAAATGTTTCGTAGTTATCATATGGTATGATTATATCACTGAATAAGGAATAGCAATATTTATTTAACATGTCTGCCGTGCCTGCAGTGTCATTTGCAATTTCACTGTCTTCAACAAGCAGTGGACAGGTTTTAATTACCTGCTGGTTTACTTTTCCTTATTTTTATGTTAATTTTTACTTCAATTTTCACTTCCACTCGAAACGGGACTTTTTATTTTTACTTTGGGATTGTTGCTTTTTAAAATTTTAATAAAATGTTGTTAAACAGTTCTTAATTATCCTTCATAGTTCTCAGTTTAAATTACTTCTGACAATTTTGTCTTGGCTTTTTTCAGCTTTGTTAAACTGATCCTTTTTAAAGTTCCAGATATATGTGTTATTATTTGGGGTGTCATATTTATATACAAATGTAATTGCCATATTCACTTATGCTTATGAATATACTTAAACTGCTTTTCAAAATTGTATCTACTGTGGAATTCCTTTGTGCTGGATGCACGAATTTTGAGTTAGTAAATTTCTCGGTGTAATTCCAAGAGCCCCATGGTAGTGCCCTGTTATAATTTCTTTTCATTTCCTATCCACATCCCATTCCCATCACCTCATTCCTCTGTGTCCGTTGTGTTCCAGGCACCTGCTTTTACAACCACTCTTCTAGCTCTCTTCTTTTAACTGACTCATATAGCTTAAAAACAGATCAGTCAATCCTGGCTCTTTCCATCTAAAAATAACCATCCAGAAAGAGCCGCCTCTGGGTCTAATTGCTGTTATTTTCTCTGTGGACATTTAGGTAATGACTGTGTGTTCTTCTGTGATGTACAGCACCAAGCACTTTGACTGTGCTTCACAAGCAGATAAAGGCATAGTTCATTAAAGACTTAATTGCTTTGATGAATTATTGGTCTGCCTTGGTATAGTGATTCCCGCAGAGCAGGACTCCTGCTTTCTTCTCTCTGAAGGCACAGTATTTAGGGAAGGATGTTCCTCATGACACATTTCTGAGCACGATTATAGTAACTGGTCTCTTCTCTTGCTGCAGCTTGCTAAGTTTTCAGAGGACACTCTCAGCAGCTACACAGAGATGGTATCTTCTCAGGTACTATTATTATGAATTGTTTTCTTCCATCTTCACTGCAGAACTTCATGATATCCTTTCCCTTCCTCTCTGATCTCCTGTTTGTTCCTAGACCCTTTTACTTGTGTCAGTTGTCCATTGTCACTCATTTGCTTCTTTAATTTGCTATGCATGCAGGTTGCATGTCTTTCCCCTGCACCTTCCCAGGTAAATGCTGCCCTGCTGACCAGAGATTGAAGTGACTTTGATACTGAGTCCAGTTGTGCTTTTCTGAATATTGCAAATGGTTTGAAATCAACTTGTGTCCTGAAGAAAGTACCTGTTTCAAGTCCTCCTGTTCCAGGAGTAAAATAAACTTTTTATAGTGTGTGTCAGAAAGAAGGGAAGTATTTTGCTTGTACCAGAAAAACCTCCTTCTTCAAGCCAAAACTAAAGAACAGAGGGGATGGCGATCAGCACCAAGACCAAATGTGAAGAGGGAACTATGGGATGTTCAGGCGTTTTAAAAGCTTGTTTCATAGGCTCCTTAACAAGCTTAAGCACATTACTAGTGTTTCCAAAGCTGGAGCAAATAAACATTCAGAAGACCTTTTTCTGGGGGAGGAACTGCATCTGGCCACTCTATAAATTGCATCATCCAGATTAAACAGGTGGGTAGAGGAAAGACACTTTTCTGTCTAATCTGGCATTAAGATTCCCCTTTCCATAAGGAGGCAGATGGACTCTAGGAGTGATTAAAAATCCCTAGATATTATAAGAATCAATTCATATCTAGCTCCTTGCTCCCAGCCACACAGAGGAGTGCACATGGATGCACACACAGACTGCTTCCTTTGCTGAATATTTTGTTGTCTTTCCGTGACAGTTCATCATTTAGCTGAGATGATTTTCAGGTGTTAAATGGGAGTGACTTTCCTTGCTGAAAAGATCTGCTTCTTTCCTTTTGTACCTCTGTAACACTTTTGCTTATGAGAAACTGGTTTTAAAAAGAGCTTTTTTTTCTTCCTGGTGATAGCTCATGATTGTTTTGCGTTTGAGCTTATGATTGTACTAACTCTTAGGATCTTAGGAACTTGATCTAAGGAGCTTTCGGGGAAGTGCTCTGCAGTGACAGCATTCCGTAACAGCAGCAGTAAAATAACACTGTGATGCAAACCTGGTTTTGCTGGCTTTTGGAGTGCACAGAGAAAAACATACAGCTCTGGTGCTTGGCTTGATTGCTGCCATCCAGACTCCTCTGAAACTTTTTTGTGTGGAAGATGAAGGGCACCAAATTGACATTTTCATTTTGCAAAATATCCCCTTCTTTCAGTTTATTACCATTTTGATTACAACTCATTTGTAATGATGGAGTAGTCAGGTCACCTTGGCTTTATTTCCAACATTGTCACTGCCTCAGTAAGTAACCTTGAGCAAGTCACCTTGCCACAGTGACTCCATTTACCCAACTTGCAGCATCGTGATTGTAAGCTTAAGGCCTCAAACTCTATAATCCAAGGGGATGAGATTTACTCTAGGAAAAAAATACTAAAAGGTAACAACTGATTGACCCCAAGTGAAGTCACTTCAGAAATCCTTCCTGTGTTTTTGGATAGACAAAGGTAGTTTCAGTGAATTCTCAATTCAACAATCAGACTGACTGTTAGCATCCTCTGGAAGGGGGAGGAAAGACCTTTCCCTTGAGAACATCAGCACCATATCAGTTAACAGGTTCCCACGGAGACCAATGTTTATCTTACAGCGTATCACTGTATTGAACCTGAAAGCAGGTAATGTCATACTCCCTTTTTTCCTTCTCTCCCCTCATCTTTCACTGAATGAGTCTTTAATTGGCTGATGTCCTCTGCTTCCCTCGGCAGGAAATGATACGCTGTATCTGGAGCCACTTCCTCTGTGTTTTAAAAGGCAAATCCCCAACTCTGAGCTTCACTTCCAGCTTGCTCCATAGTCTGGGATCTGTCACTGTGAGTATTGCGGGGTTGTCAGAAGGAGAAGCCCTACGTGGATGCTTCACTTGCATCATTCATATTGTCCTTCCCTGAGCATAGACTCTTAGCAATCAGTTCACCATGCTGGAATTAGAAACCCCTCAGGCACCTTTGTAGAAGAGTTTAATTTAAAACTGTCTTGTCTTGTCCAAGCAGCACATTTACAGGCTAAAACAATGGTTAGAGATACTCTGTGGCATCTAAAAGGGTGTCTGTATTTTCCAGCTCTGGTTCTGGTCCCATAACCCTCTTGACTCCTGTTCAAGAACCAGCTGGTTCGGGTCTGATAAGGTACTAGCTAGTGAAACAGGTTCAGTTGTTGCTTCCTTCCCATGGTCTTCGTGACTAGTTTTACAATATCCTGAGATAAAATTGCAGTTAACCCATCAATCCTGCTAGAGCAAGGAATTCTCGGATTTCTTGAAAGGTTATTAGGTGCAGTTTCTTAAACAGAAGGTTGGTGAAGGGGCAAAGGAGATACTTGTCTATCCTCCCATGTATTTATTAAACTTGTGATATTTACAACTGTGTATGAACACTGAGACATGTTTTCACTGAGATTTTGCTTTCTTGGGGGTGTTGTGGGATGTTCTAGGTGCTCTGCTGTGTAGACAAGCAGGGGATTCTTTCCTGGCCAAACCCCAGCCCAGAGACTGTTCTCTTCTTCAGTGGGAAAGTGGAACCACCTCACGATAGCCATGAAGATCTGACTGATGAGCTCTCTACACGGTCCTTCTGCCATCCTGAGATGGAAGATGAGGTGAGGGATATGTAATCCATAATGTAGTATGTTTGACTGACATGCACAACGTGGTGTTATAGAGGGGACCCTGTGCTTGCAGAGAAGTCCTGTGCCATAATTCTTTGCTTAAAAGATAAAGAAGCAGCAAGGATGAGATCCTCTTCTACAGGAGTCCTAAAGCAGCATGTGAATCAGTAGTGGCTCATGTTCAACCACTGAATCACCACTGTTCATTCTGTTTGTCTCTCGCAGCCCCATGAGAGAGATGCTTTGCTCTCTGGTCCCCTGGCAGACACAGTCCACATGACCAATGAGCAAGAGAGGAACAACTGGTCTGGTGACCCTCCAAAGCCTCCCGATGCCCATGCCCACCGAAAGCCAAACAGCAGAAGCAAGCATCCCTCTGGGTCCAATGTGAGTTTTAGCAAGGACACGGAGGGTGGAGAGGAGGAACATACTCAGGTAAGACATCCTGAAGAGGCACAGAATTAGTCTTCTACAGACTTAAATCTGTAGAAGCTCCCTTTTTGGGAATTTAATTGGGAATTCCCTGCGGGATTCTAGGCTCAAGCTGTAACCAATTAGAATTTTCCTGTCTGTTGGACCAGACCGTTGGTGACAGCGAAGTGTTGGCTTGTGAGGCTGAAGACTTTGTGTGTGACTACCACCTTGAGATGCTTAGCCTGTCCCAAGACCAGCAGAACCCCTCCTGCATCCAGTTTGATGACTCCAACTGGCAGATGCACTTGAATTCCCTCAAGCCTCTGGGCCTGAATGTGCTGCTCAATCTCTGCAATGCCAGTGTGACCGAGCGTCTGTGCCGCTTCTCTGACCACCTCTGCAACATTGCCCTCCAGGAAACTCACAATGCCGTGCTTCCTGTCCATGTGCCCTGGGGCCTCTGTGAGCTTGCCAGGCTAATAGGTAAGGAGAAATTGGATGAGCAGACACAGAGAAATCAGAGCTGTCAGTAGACAATCCTTAGAGAGCACAAGAAAAGTATTTCCTTAGTCCTGGTTACTGAGAAAGTGGAATTACAAGGCTGACTCTGTTGTTCAGTTGCCAAAAAAGTCTGTTAAAGAGGTTGCTTTTGGCAAGTTCTGACATTGTAGACACTATCAAAGGAACAAATGTCATCAAGGGTATTTCCAGCCAGCCCTGACTAGGCTTGGTATTCTTCTGGCTCGAGTCTGCCAATCTCATCAGGAGACAAAGAATAGCTGCTAATGGACAGATAGCTGCCCTGTTTTTACAGTAATGCTTTACCAGGAATTTGGGTATAAATGATGTGAGGTACCTTAGCTTGTTTTATGGTAAAACCAAGGCATAGGGGAGGTAGGAGATTAGAGACAACACTAGGATTAAAATCTGGAAGCTCTGCCTGTCCTTCAGTGTCATAGTTCCTCTGTTCAATGAGCCAGAAGCATGAAAGTTGTAATTACTAATAACACCTAGTCCTTCTGAATGTTTTTCATCATAGATCTTGAGCCATTTTGGTGTAGATGCACAGTGAGCACAGCTCACCTGCCTGTTGCTGGGGAGATGTCAGAATGAGCACAGGCAAAGTGGATGGCATAGAAGCAGGAGAGAGGCCCTTTCTTTTCCTTTGGTTAGAGCCTTATTTTTCTCCTCCTTACATTCACGTTTCAGGTTTCACACCAGGTGCTAAAGATCTTTTCAAGCAGGAGAACTATTTGGCCTTGTACCGCTTGCCAAGTGATGAGATGGTTAAGGAAACAATCCTGGGGAAGCTTTCATCGATCACCAAGAGGAGACCACCCCTGAGCCACATGATTAACCTGTTCGTGAAGGACACCACTACAAGTAAGGCTGCCCCTTTCTTTGGGCAACCATTTGGCACACGGGAGGATCTTTTCCACAGAGAACCTAGAAAATGTCAGACTGGAATGGTCGTGGAGTCCCTGTGGGGTGATAGCCTTGCTCTGCCTATGGCAAGTACAGATACTTGCTCAACAAACCTTAGTGATCAGTGCTATGGCATACTGAGGGGGGAATTCTTCCCAGCTTTGGCTCACTCCAGGATCATAAATAATTTTTAAAATTTATCTTAGAGCACATAGTAAACCTGTTTTCTGGGACCTTGCAGAGCAAGGTGGGGATTTTATTGGGTTTTGAATAGACTTCATTATGGTAGTGAAACTGATACTGCACAGGGTTGAATATTACTTATGGTTTTAGCTAATGATGCTCATCTTTCTGATAACCCAAATCATTATCTTCATGAGTTGTCTAGTGTATTATACGGCATACTCTGTTTCTAAATTGCATACTAATGAGAAATCACAGAAGTCCTGTGCAAACTCATGGTGATCATGAATACACCACCTGAAGCCATGCTGATTTCTCCACTCCTACTCCTTCCTATTCTAATAGGACTGGGGTAGGATGGAAAGGATGCACAGCTGGGCACCATGGGGCCTTAAAGCACCTCAGCAAGATTTAATGGCTTGCCTGTCAGAGCTTTTAGTCTCTACATAATACCTTAAATTGACTGAACTTGGCTCTCTGGAGTTGACATATGTTCAATATTGAATCTGAAATATGATTATTATGCTGGCCAGAGATTTACCAGGTAAACTCTTCTCTTGCAAATTTGTATCTTAATCTGGGGAAGAGCTTTTTCATTTGTCCTGATTGCTGCTATCTTGCCTTTGTGAGCAAGAATTTTTCTGATGCTAAGATTCTTAGTGGAGGGAAAAAACCTTTAATGTTGCCTCATTTCAACTCCTTATCCTCGTTTTTAAACGGTTTAGTTTAGAGGCTGGAGCTCAGACGAATACGTGTGTGACCTGGATTGTGCTGTCTAGAGTAAATTCTAAGAGGAATTTTGCCAGCAGGGTTAGTTAACCATTGGAACACCTCTCGCATGACAGTATTGTCCCTTGAAACTTTCTAAAATGTGTACAACCAGAAACAATGGGTTATGCAGATAATATTGTGTGAAATCAAATGGCTCTGTTTATGCAGAAGAGTCAGACCAGAGGATCGTAACTAACCTCTCGTGATACATTATTTGTGAATAAATCTTTGAATCCACCCACTCCCATGACATGTTGAAGTCAAAAGGAGATACGTAAGAAATTCTACAGCTGTAGCAGAAATAGGAGGTAGCTTATCTGTATGTTCCCTTGCTATTCCATTGAAATATGTGTCTCACCATCTGGCAGTGTTCATCCCAAATCCATAGTAACCACATGCAAACGAGGGGCTCACTGGCGTCTTCAGTGGAATAAAATGGCTTGATACCATCTCTGTCTTCCCTTGATAGAGCTGCACTCTTAGATTCCTTTTGCTCTTTCTCACTGGCTCAGCTGTAGTGTCTTGGTTCTTCTTAATGAGTCCCAGCAGTCATGAATGGCTAGTCATACTCCCCATCCTGTTTGTTAGTTTTCTCCCTTGTGCCAGAGAAATCCTGGCTTTCAAGTTCGTGATTTAGGAAGGGAAGAGGCTGAGCTCACTTTGCTGGCAATGACAGCTGAATGAACCCCTTCCAGTTTGTAGTGCATTCTGTCACTGTCATTTACCCCTTAGAAGGATTGTTGTGTGGGATGCTGATAATAATGAATAGGAAATGGATTGCAATTGCTGTCAGGCATGAACGTAGGGGGGTGTGTGGTCATCTGCAGGCTCTTGCTCTGTGCCCAGGGCATAGGTTTTGCATGAATCAATAAACAACTCGTTCCCTCTTTTCTAGCAAGGACTATCTGACCATAGGAGCAAGGTGGGAAGGATTAGGTGTTTATACAATAAAATTAACCAGAGCCCTGCACAAATACTCCTTTGTGTCCCTGAAACAGGCTCCTTCTTTAACACACAGCTCCTGTTCATCTTGGAGGTTTGTTATGCTGATAAACTTGGCGTGTGATGACTATTTATAGCAGAAAGCAGAGAGCTGCTGTGTTTTGGAAAATCCTCTGGTGTTCCTGAAGGTCCCTGCCTGGTTTGTGCGAGCGGATATTCTTGGCTCTTGATTTTACCAGCTAGTGTGAGCATTTGCAGTCAGCAACAATGCCTGCAAGAAGCCTTTGGGCTCATTTTTCTTGCAGTGATGTTTTTTTCATTAGATCAGCTTTGAAGCTGTTGGGGGCAAAGTCACAGAGCAGCTGGAGGGGGGAACCTAGACAGTGAAGTCTACGTGCATACAATGTTAATGTATCAGCGCTAATGAAAGGGAGCAGGAAGTGTGGAGGGGGAGGCAGCCCTGCGTCCTTTAACTTGTGTCCTGTGCTTGGGAACTGCATCAGGCAAGTGACATCACACACCTTTGGGAAACACTTTTTAACACCCCTGTCTACAAGAGGGAATGAAAGATTTTAAGTCTGTATTAAAAAGTAAAGTAGTGGTGGGAAAAAAACAGGACAAACTGTGGCGTCCATTGATTTTCAGTTCTTCCCTGATCACAACATGAATTACTTTTTTAGTGTCTGTTACGTTGAACTTTTGACCCATCCTGATTTAACACATTTTCAAGACCCTTTGTGAAACAAGCTGCTATCTAAGGGGTCACACTCTTAAATTAACTTCTGCTATTTGAATGGAAGGTATTCAAGAATAGCTCTTACCTTTTAGATCCTCGCCTGGGCTAAAATTGCGTGCATTTTCCAGTGTAGGCAGACTTTGATCCTCACAGGCTCATCGCTGGTGCTTGTACTCATGAGAGGATGCACACAGGAGTATCTTTTCTTCTGCTCTGTTGACTACAGGAGCAAGTTATTAGGAGCTGGAATGTTACACCGTGTAAGGGGAGAATAGGAACTGACTATGTGGCTCACATATCACAGCCTTGTTTGAACTCATGGTTAGACAAATAGCAGCTGAATACATACTATCCAGTCTTGAATAATTTCTTGATGCAGACTGAAGACATTCAACAGAGGAAAGCAGGTATCTGGAGTGCATCATGGCAGTTTGCGGGAACACTTGCTTTTAACAAATAAGGAAGTAGTTGGTATGCTATCCCTTTCCTGGGAGCCTCTACGTGTGATGCTGACTCATTGTTCTCCTACACTTCAGGCACTGAGCAGATGTTTTCTCATGGGACAGCTGACATCATCCTTGAGGCCTGCACAGACTTTTGGGATGGTACCGATATCTACCCCCTCTCTGGCTCTGACAGGTGGGCAGTTTTGTCATTTGGTGCGTTCAGGGGCTGCAGATAAATTGCAGAGGGAACCTGGTCACTCTTTGTTAAAATTCCCTTTACTGATGCTTGTTAAGCTATTTAATAGAAGCTTCAAGTAGGTTATGAACATGAGCCATCTCTGCTTATAATTAATTGTTATAGCAGCATAAGAGATAAGATAGCAACAAACTATATGCTGGACTGTAAGACTAAGCCACTTTGTACTGTATCTGTTAACATATTAGCCTCTTATAAGTGGACTCTGACTGTACTGTGTAATGGTGTAATGAATTATAATCAGGTCGTATGCTGGTGGCAGTGAATACTTTTTTGTTGTTCAAGGCAAATGCCTTGTCTTACATGAAATGCAAAGTGATTAATTCTACCTGCTCTTTACAGCTTCAATCCAATCCACCACAATGCATCATTCCCTTTTAGTCCTGCTGCAATATCTGACACTGTCTGTTGCATTTTCATCTGTAGGCTAAATTTTTGTTCCTGCTAGCAGAGCAGACCAGTAATGTTTAGTTTCACTGACTAGCAGCACATTGTTCTTCTAAGTCTGCTTATCCTCAGGTAGAAGAAAATTCTTGCTGGTCCTTTTTGGAATATTTATCATCTTAAAAGCCAATGAAAAATCCCATGTGTAGTCTAATTTGTTAACTTTGAGAGTTCAACTTAGAGCAGGAACTTTATGACATGCCAGTGACTGTTGACTAAACAGAGACTTCACATACAGCTCCTGGGACCCAAACTCTGAAGGGCAAGGAAAAAAAAAATAGAAATAGGAGAAAAGTCTGTTACTGCAACTATCTCTGCCATGGATACTATTGCCAGAGTTGTCATTTCCTTCCTTGGTGTTTATCTCCCTACAGATAAATTCTCTCCGATGAATTAAGCTTCTGCTGTCATGCAGTGAACTTCCTTGGAGTCATCTGGCAGCCACATAGAGCATATTATATTAATAACTGTATTCAAAGAGTACTGTGTTCATACTCACCAATCTGATGAGCAAACAGAAACATACACCACTGTGTTTTTGTTGCCCTGTAGTGCCTCCAGCTTAGGGAATGCAAAAACAGTAAGGAGAGGATTTTTCAGAGTCTCTGACCACTCCTCACGGAATACATTTTTCCAAATCTCCAACCGGTGATTTCTACATTGAACTACAGTGTACATTGTCAGAAACACAGCACATTTCTGCTAACTTTGTTTTTTATGTCTTCCACATAGGAAGAAGGTGTTAGATTTCTACCAGCGAGCCTGCCTCTCAGGATACTGTTCTGCCTTTGCATACAAGCCAATGCATTGTGCCTTGTCCTCCCAGCTCAATGGCAAGTGCATAGAACTGGTGCAGGTCCCTGGGCAGAGTGCTATCTTCACATGCTGTGATCTCCCTGGGACGACCCCCATCAAACAGAGCAGTCGGAGGAATAGCTGGAGCTCAGATGGTATGTGTCTTTTGGGCTGTCTATAAAGATCTGCTGCTGGGCCAGATGCTTTCTGATCAGTCTAGAACTGCAAGAACATTGTTATTTGGAGCAGCGGATGGAAATTGAGAACTAAGGGTTTCTGAAGTAGATGCATTTCCAGAGGAAATAATAATGTAGCAGCTGGTAGGTATGTTTCTAGTTAAGTTAGCGAAGCTTGCAGAGAAATCCTTCTACTTGTGAGAAGTCTGTTTCTTAAAGCAGGCAATTGAGAGTCAAGTCTTCTGGGTATTTCGATACTTGGTTTGCTATTTGTCTAATTTTATGGAAATCACATATGTTGGGTTTTTGAAAGGAATTAAATGTATGGTGGGGGGCGACTGTTCTCCCTCGATGGATTTTTTGTTGCTGTGCTGAAGGAACTGATTCCCACTAGATGAATCGTACATCTTCTCCAGAACAGCAATGGAAATTGAGAAATAAGCACGTACCATTACATAACTCCAGGAGGCTCTTTTGGAAAACCAGTGTTAATCTCTTTCTGCCTTGGTCTCCCATTCTGTAAAATGTGAATAATGGGGTTTCCCACAGCTGGGAGGCAGTTGTGACTGAGTGCTTTCAAAACACTTCTCAGTCCCAGTGTGGCAAGCTTTGCAACTGCGTGAAGTGTTTTATTATTTTGTTCTTCATACTGCATCCAGCTCCCATTCACCACAGGCTGCTCTGGTGATGGTGAAGGAACCCTGTCAAAGAGCCTTCGCAGGCACTTTGGGAGTGCCTGCAGTGTCACTGGAGGGAACATGATCCAGTTCCCTTGCATCAGCCCCCCCTTACTCTGATGGCACTCTGCCTCAGCTAGACTCGTCATGTTATTTAAGCACAGTATGATGTGTTTAAAATGCACATATGAACATTATGCAGCATACATCCTTTACATTTCTGCCCCAGTTCCTTGTGACTGATCCCTGTCTTCTGTTTTGTCTTTTTTCTTTCCATGCTTGCTGTTTCACACTTGTATTCTTGGTCGCATATGTGGGAATGTCCTGAAACTGCTTCTGTGATTGGGTATGCTGGGACAAATGGATGTCTCTTCATCTTTCCTCTTGTATACGCATGTGTGTATCTGCATGTTTCTGGGTACTATGTCCTTGGTGTTATTTTGGTGGCCTCTCCCACCATGTGTACTTTGCCTGATGCACATGTGACCCCTTGTGTCTCAATGTGATTGCGTGTTGTTTGCATGCCTGAAGAAGGGATTGGGGAAGTGATGGAGAAGGAAGATTGTATCCAGGCTCTGAGTGGACAGATCTTCATGGGAATGGTCTCATCTCAGTATCAGGCCCGTCTTGACATTGTCCGCCTCATTGATGGATTGGTCAATGCCTGCATTCGTTTTGTCTACTTCTCCCTGGAAGATGAGCTCAAAAGCAAGGTAAGCCGTCTTTGCTGAACCCCCTGAACTTGCATGTCCCCTGATTGTCTGACTGGAGAGTTTAGCTCCAGTGCAATCTAAGGTTAATCTGATTCAGCTAGCTAACGAGTCCAGAAGATACCTACGCTCCAACATGGCATTGATCTGCAATACTCTGGCCTGGACCACTACCCTAAAATCTTTTATCTGTTCACCTACAGGTGTTTGCTGAGAAGATGGGTCTTGAGACTGGCTGGAATTGCCACATATCTTTAACACCTAATGGTGATGTGCCTGGCTCAGAGATCCCTCCCTCTAGCCCCAGCCATGCTGGCTCTCTGCACGATGACCTACATCAGGGTGAGAGAACTGCGCCTAAGCCACTTTGAATGCCACGTGTTTGCCGGATGGTTCTTTTAAACTCATTCATAGGTTCCTGTGTCCTCACTAGATACCTGATCCTTTGGAGCTTTGAGCACAAAACCGGATGGGCCAGAGGGGTGTGTATAAGCAAGTGAGAGAGTCTTAGGTTTATAGCCTACCCAGTCAGTACCGCAGTTGTTGGAAACAAACATCCTTCTGTGCACCAGCTGCTGTGATTTTACAACTGCTCATTAGAGCTTTTGATTCTTGCCAGGGCCCTGGTGAAGCCACTGAGGGTCTCTTGCCTGTGCATTGCTCTTTTTCTTACTTCAGGTGGGATTTTTTTACTCTCTTCTTCCCCTAGAAGGAGGAGAGCAGAAGAGATAAACTATCATGTCTCAAAAGAGCAGACACGAGGCTCACATATTCTACCTCTTGAGCAGATTAGTCATCTAAAAATACTGCATTTTAGATGACTGAGTGGGATCTAAGTGTTGCTAACCTAGAAAATCAGGCCTCACGTTTCCTGGCTTCTGCAGCTCCACGTGAATATACTGTGTGGGTGGCACAGGGGTGGCAGAGGTAGGTTTGTGCTTATTGTTTATGCTGCTTCTCTCTGCTCCAGTTTCTCGAGATGATGTGGAGGGGCTTCTGCTGATGGAAGAAGAAGGGCACTCAGATCTCATCAGCTTTCAGCCAACAGACAGCGACATCCCCAGCTTCCTGGAGGATTGTAACAGGGTGAGGCCCCCTTTTCCTACACACTTTGTGCTGTTGTCATGGTCAGCAGTATCACCTCATTAATCCCAGAGGGAATTCCACTTTGAAGCAGATCCACTGGTTTGCACTGGGACTCCTGATTTCCCCCACCCTCTTCCAGCTTGGTACCTAGAGCCTGGGAAGCTTGGGATTTTCTCACTTTTGCTCAACAGGTCTTTTCTTTGGAGTTTAGGAAGAGAGATGACCCCACATGCAGTAGCCTTGAGAGCTGCATCTCAGTCTGTGCGGGTCCCCTTCCCATGTGCTGGGCAGGGAGTGGGAACATCCCCACATTCCATGCAGACAGCAGAAACTCTCTCTTCTCCAGCTGTGAGCCATGGCTGGTGCTGCCTAGTAATCAGAGTGTGGGACAAGCTCTTCCTGCCTCATAAAGAACTCAGACATGCTTAGCAGAGGGTACAGGAATATCAGAGATAGATGCAGATTTAAAAAAAAAAAATCTGTTAGGCCTGGTTGTAGAAAGCAAGAACCCTTCCCTTGCTGTGTGTTGATGTGGCTGCAATTGAAATAGATCTAGTTGCTGGGAGACAGCGCATAGTCTCTGATTAGATTCTCCACACAGGTAAAAAGTCCTTAGAAATCCTTGAGCACAGGTTTATCATGTTGATCTTACAAACCCTGAGGGCAAGCACAGGCAGCTTGGTGCATCAGTGTGGAAGTTTAGCAGAAGACTTTTTACAATGGCTTGGGAAAGCCAGCTTCTGTCTGCAGAGACATCCATTTGATCTTGAAGTTGTATAATTCTGGGAATCACAATTCTTATTTCAGCAGTTCCCTCTGAAATGCCTCTCCCTACCTCACACACACACTCCCTTGCTTAGTCTCTTCTTTCTCTTTTTCAGGCCAAACTCCCACGGGGGATCCACCAGGTGAGACCTCACCTGCAGAACATAGACAATGTGCCTTTGCTGGTGCCTCTCTTCACAGACTGCACCCCAGAAAGTAAGTGGTACAGAGCCTGGGTCTGCCCTACTACTGCCCATAAATACCTTCCCTGTCTGTTTGCTCTGGCTCATCTGGGTGTGGACATGGGTGAAGGGAAGGGGATACAGTCCAGAAATCTAGACGGGCATTTGGATATTAATGACCCTCTGTTGCTTGTGGGAAGCCAGGTGTTAACTTCATTTTAATGCAACTGTTCCCTAGCTACAGAATTGGGCTAAGAACCACTCCTTTCAATTTGCATTTGTGAGAGACACAAAAGCAAACATCCAAAATGCTGCTGCCTTTTATTAAATAAGCATTATCAGTGTGCTAGGAGACTTTGATCTCTGCTTGCAACCCTCACTGCCTTATATAACTCAGAAATCGCTTCCCAGAAGAATTTTCCTGTGGCAGTTGCTGTTAACACCTGCTGCTGCTGCTTTGCAGAGGTTTTGATTGCAGAGACCAGAAAGGACAGAATTTCTCTCTCTATTTTATCTAAGAAAGGTGCTGAGTGCTCAGCTAGCTAATACCTGTCCAGTTTACAGTAAAAGTGCTAACATCATTACGATTTGGCATTTTAGGTACCTCCGGGCACAGTTTATAGAGTGCAGTGAGAACCAGTTACAGCCCAGTCAGTCTAGGCATTCAGTGCCCAGTAGATTTCCTCTTTCTGTCTGACAGCCACGGCAGTTCCCCACTTCATCTAACCCCTTCCCTGTGCTGCAGATCTGGATGCATCAGTCATTTAGAGAAGTTGTTTACACAGGAATCTGCAGAGGCTGGGTTTGGTTTTTTTTTTCCACCTAGAGCATTCTAGAAAATTCATATATACACAGACCACCATGCACAGAGTTACAGAAAAAAAATCAGATCAAACAGCAGCTTTGATTTAGAGGCCCCAGTAGAATGTTGATAAAAAGATTGATGAAGGCTAGAGGTAGCAGTGGGAGTGCAGAAACAGGGACTGGCCCTGAGTATGGCTAAATGTGGCACTGCTTTCGGCGTAGTTTATTATATTCCCTCTATTCCTTTAGATTTCAAACAGTAGTGATGTGATGCTGAGCAGAATTTAAAATTGTGTATTTATTTGAGGTTTATTTAATTTCTGCTGTTTCCCAATAAGACCATTTGATGCTGAAGCCATCTGTATTATATACCCAGGCTATACCTACAGCTCTGGCCTGAAAGAGATGTGCTAGAAATGCAAATCTCAGGGTCATACAGGAGACAGGTATACAAGAAACTTGGACTGCAATAAATTAGCTATCTAATTCTGTGCTTTTACTTTGCATCTCACTATACGTGACTGATGAGTATCAGTTGGGTAATTTTAAGAGATCTGATTGCCTGTTATCCAGACTGAAAAGGGTGTGTGAAACACTGCATATTTCTGTGCATAAGATAATGCACTGTGTTTCTCCTCCTGTCCCTTTGCAGCCATGTGTGAGATGATCAAAATCATGCAGGAGTACGGGGAGGTGACTTGCTGTCTGGGAAGCTCTGCCAACCTGCGGAACAGCTGCCTCTTCCTGCAAAGTGATATCAGGTAGGGCAGGATCAGGACTCCTACAGCTGCCTTTACTCTTTGCAAGTGCCCAGTCATAGGTCACACCAGACCTGTAGATTGTGCAGGGTGACACTCACAATTGCTCTGTCCATTATTAGCTTCACTTGCCTCCAATAAGGGACATTTGAGTGGTATCAGATGGGATGATTACCTAGATCCCTCAACACACAAGGATATTTCTCTCCATCTTTAAAAGGAAGCTGTTACTCTTGCATGCTGAGCTATTGTGCACCAGCTGGCATTACAGGTGCTTCTCAGTGGGTGAAAGAGTGGAAGTGCCCCTCTGGATCAACCAGTTTGTTGACCTTGAGCCACAAACCCAAATATGTTCATTATTTCTCTGGGAATAACTGAAAGTCTAGGGAGATTGATCCTAAATTCATGTCACAGCTCAGAGCTTTTCTACCAGGGAGGTACATAGAGGTGGTAGAGCACAGCATGACTTCAAAAGCGGGACTGCAGTGAAATAGTTTCTCCTCTGGGATGAGGACTTTCACTAATGCTCCTGTGTTGCCCTTGCAGTATAGCACTGGACCCTCTCTACCCATCTCGCTGCTCCTGGGAGACTTTCGGCTATGCCACCAGCACCACCATGACCCATGCCTCTGATGAGCTCACCCCACTGCAGCTCTCAGGGCAACTCAACAGCCTGCCTTGCTCCATGTCCTTCCGCCAAGAAGAGAGTACCAGCATCATCAGGCTTATAGAGCAGGTAAGCCAGGCACATCCCCTCTCTGGTACTCACCCCTCTGTCTGCAGCTCCCAAAAAGCAAAGCTAGAAGCTCATGTGAGCATTCTTGTTCAGTTGCCTGCAGTAAGCTGCCAGCATTAGCTTTTCTCATGTCTCCTGTCCTTTGTTCAGGAAGCACAACAGAATCTTCCTGCCTGGTCCTACCGGTCCAAGGTGTAAAGGGATGGTTTGGGAATGGCGCCTTGTGGCAACAGAACATGAATATTATTCAAGTGGATAAAGGGTAAACTTGCAGCAATCCCTAGCCAGACAGCAATGCAGTGCTAGGAAGAAGTGTTACCCCAGAAAAGCAAGGAGGTTTAAACAAACTTACCCCTTGGCTAAATTCTGCCTTTCCTTCAACCTCTACATCTAGGCAGGAGACCTTCCCCTTTTGCTTACAATGTGTCCCGATCCTCTCCCCTCCCACTTCCCCTGCTGGCCACATGTTCTGCCCCTGCCTGCCAATAATTGCTCTTGGCTGGTAACTGCTCCCATCACAGCAAGGGCTCTGAGGGCTTGTGCTTCCTTCCAGGCCAGGCATGCAACTTATGGGATCCGCAAGTGTTTCCTCTTCCTGCTGCAGTGCCAGCTGACCTTGGTTGTCATTCAGGTGAGTCCTGGCCTGGCTGGGGACAGCATTTAGCTCAGAGGATGGGAGTGCTAGCATGGATATGGGTGGCTACAGTGGGGCAGCCTTGCAAGAGGGAAAAGTGGCCTTCAGTCACATTTGGGGAAGTTACAGATAGAGACCATGTGATCTCAGCCTGCATTGCCCCCTCTCCCTGACCCTCCTACAGAGGTTTCTTTTCAACTCCTTTTTCCCTGTGGAGAAAAGCATCCCCTACAGCACCTGCCCCAGCAGCCCGGAACACGTGGAGGGTCTGCGCAGTGGCAGCCTAGTTACCAGCTCATCCCAGTGTTTTGGGGGAGGACAGTGGCATTTTGGGTAACAGGACTGTCCTAGCCCTGCTCACACTCTTCACTCTGGATTGTTCATGTCCAGTTCCTCTCCTGCCTGGTGCAGCTGCCCCCCATCCTCAGTACCACGGACATCGTGTGGCTCTCCTGTTTCTGCTACCCACTGCTCAGGTGAGTCTATCAAGGTGGAATCTGCTGCCTTCCACCAACAGGATGCATAGACCAGTTCCCCATCCTCACTGTGTCCATGTTAAAAAGAAAGCTGACATCACCCGCAGCATGCTAAGAAGGCTGCAAGGATTGTTCTAAGCACCTGGCTTTGACAAGGTGCTTGGAAACACAGGAACATTTGTGTACAGCTGTGTTAGCCCTGCCTGCTGAGAGCTGTATTATCTTGTGGCTTGCATTTCCAGCTGAAAGTCATCTTCTAATCCTCATACTGTTGCACTGGCTGGAGTGTGATGGAGAGCCTAGGGTGTCAGGCAGAGGCCAAGGTAGCATGGGTGGTGTTTTCCTCCATCACATATTTGGAGGTCACCTCTTTCCCTGTCTGCACCTGCCATGAATGACACCTTTTACAGCACATGCTAAGGCAGTAGCCAGATAAGTACCAATGTTGCAAGCAGTCTGAGGAGGTTATTTGGGTTCAAGTGTTAGACATAGACAAAAAACCAAAGTTTTGGTGCCTGAACTTGTTTCTGAGAGACCAACTTACCTTTCTCCAGCATTTCGCTCCTGGGCAAGCCTCCCCACAGCTCCATCATGACCATGGCAACAGGAAAAAACTTGACTTCCATTCCTAAGAAGGTAGGTGACCCATCAGATTAAAATTGTTCACACATTTTTTTCATTCTACTTTGTCCCAGTGTTGATGCATAGCTGAGGCCCTGAGCCTTCCCTTAGCAAATCAATCCACAGCATGAGCCACGCTATTCAAAAGCGTGGCATGAACAGGAAGGGAATCCCTTAGTGCTAGCATGTCCACAGGGCAGATCCACAGTGCAGCATCTCATCTGTACTACAGCTTGTCTTTTGCAGCCACCAATTCCCTGATGGTTCAACACAGGGGAGGCTGGGCCAGTGACATGCCCATGTCATCCTCCTGCCTCTCCCTTATTCACAGACTCAGCATTACTTCCTGTTCTGCTTTCTGC